ACGACGACGACGACGACGACGTTTGAATAACCGCAACAACAACATTCCCGCGTAATTATTTGCAATTAAGATAGCAATTAAGGCAAGCGATATATACGAGAACTTCTTTTCTCCCCGCACAGCGACCGCATGATGACAGTCGTCGCCGCGGGATCCAACGGGATTTTCATTAACGTAATTGCGTAAAATTTGTACGTAGCCGAAGTTGACAACCGTCGCGGTTCGCCGAGGAGGCAAACAGAATCCGTCTCGATTTACTCGCGCGCGGTCAGCAAACAGGAGCAAGTTCGGCCAGCGAAGTGAAACGAATATCGCTTCTGAGCAAATTTCTACGTTAATCGAGATGCACGGTTGCCGCCGCGACGATACTCGCCCCGCTCGTAGACGAGAATCCCTAACGAGATACGTCCAACCTAGCCCCGGCAGCCTCTCTCATCCCGTCGGCGTCGATCCCGTGAAAATCTGCTCGACACACAGCGAGCACACGCAATTTCCGGCAAAATTGTTTTGCTCCCGTCACCCGATATTAATCGCACATAATTTCTTCCCTCTGCGAGGGAGAGGAGGGAGGTAAAAAAGGGAGCCGGCAACGATGAAGTCGACGATGACGACGACGTCGTTGTCGTTGTCGTTGTCCCTCCCGTCAATCAATTATCGACTCGTATACACGTCGGAGGAAAGGCGTAGAACGCTGCAACACTTACACCAGCGCGCCGTATTACACAGGCCGCGGCCGCGGCGTACTGAAAGACATGGCCTCGTTCCCTTCACGTGTCACACGTACACGCGCGTGCATGTAGCTCCGGCCAGTGCTGCGACGGCTGGTTGAATCGGCCAAGCCCGACACGACCTAACGATGGACGGGTCAGGCGTCGCCGTAAAAGGCCATTAATGTCCATCGCTTGTGGATCGTCATCGTGTATCGGTGTCTCCTCTCTTTAGCGGGAAAAGCGATCGCGATGTCGACAGTTTTCCCAACCTACCTACCTGCTACATATCTCTCACTCTCTCCCTCTCTCTCTCTCCCTCTCTCTCTCTCTCTCTCTCTATCTATCTCTACCTACCGAGCCACCTGGCCGTCAATGTCGCCGCGTTGCATTTCCGATGTCCGCTTTTGCGGGCAAATAACGGCCGGGATGAAATCGATCATCTTGCGGCGCGCGGCCGAATGTTTATTCGCCGTCGTCGACGGTTTTTCTTACGCCCGCGCGATCGCTCAGCTATCCGCTCGGCTATCGATAATAAGAAACGGGGATTCCCGGAACCTAGCGTATCGACGTTGCGCAGTTTACCGTATAATAGCCAAGCCGTAGAGCTTGAACGATATCTCAAGGGGGGGGGGAGGGGGGTTAAGGGGTGAGAGGTCACGACACGCAACTCGCGCTGCTTCTCCGTCGTCTTTCGCGAGGTGCAGCACGGTTGACGAGAGCAGCGCGATTAACCGTATCAATGGTGGAGCACGACTCTTAATCATCGTGCAGGAATTTGATCAGCATTCTTTCTTTTGCCTGTCGCATAATAATGCATTAGCCGCGCACGTGCATACGATATCCGAGAGCGAGGAGCGAGCCTCAAGTTGATACTCGCGCAAGAATTTTATCTTGTGTGTGTGTGTGTGTGTGTGTGTGTGTGTGTGTGTGTGAAAGAGAGAAAGACCCAACGATCCGTAGGAGAAAAATAATACGGCGAGTTTCTTGAAAACGAAGCAGTCGATACCGTAGAGTGAGTGTTACTCCGCTCTCCGCGTATATTAAAGATCCTCTCTTTTCCTATTTGCCCTCCCAATTATAGGAAGAAGCGATCTCGTTCCGGAACGCTCGACCCGGAGTCTTCTCGATTCTCTCGAGCGAGTCGAAACGAATGAACAAAGATCTCGCACGCGAAACGCACCGCGACGATGAGCTTCCCGCGGAAACGGTTCCATCTTCTTCCTCTTCTTTTTCATAGCCTTCCTTCTCTTTGCAACTACGACGGGCAAGTTCGTGAAAAGAAGCGATACGAGAATATTTATAAGCTCCTTTTATGGTTAAGCGGACCCGGGCCCGAAGAAGCGGCGTCCCTACGTGCACGAGGGGGAATGCATTTTCCGCGCGAAGACAGCGAGATTATTACCGACGATATTTCATCGGCCACTAAAACCAGCCGGCTTTCGGGACGCGCCGGGGCACCCCGGTCGTTCCTTGGCCGCTGCTTGCATTAAAGGTCGCACAATTGTAAAATGTAACTACGTGTAAGCGCGGTGTATGTCGGGATTTATGTGCACGCCCCCCGGCCCCCCGGCCCGCTTTCTCCGGAATTTATTCCGCCGCACCGAATTCCGCGCCGCGTTCTTTCGGCGAGGTCTAGTTCTTTTCCTTTTCCTCTCTTTCTATCTTCACACGCGGAAGAGGACTCGAGGCCAAGGGGGAAGGAATAATGCGGTGAGAACAAGAGAAGGTACTTGTATTTCCCGGGAAAGGATCGCAGACTCTAAGATACCAGATTGTAATGCCTTTTCTATTCGGAATTTCGGGATTGTATCGCCTAAACGAGCGTTATCGTTCAGGATATCGTTATTGATTCGGCGATAAAGGCGAGAGGACAATTCGACGAAGCGAATCGAAAACGGTGGAGAGTCGCCGAGTCGGAGCGGCGAGGCACTCCTCTCTCTCTCTCTCTCTCTCTCTCTCTCTCTCTCTCTCTGAGGGCGCATGCCCGGTGTAATAATTAGATGCGAATAAATATTTGTAGGTTCGCGGAAACAAAATACGCTTGATTTTTACCTCGCCCCGAGGTGCTTCGTTTTCAATAATTACGGAAACCAAGAGCCCGGACCGGGGCAATCGGAGGGTTAATTTAACCGTTTTAATTGTTAGCGGACTGCGCGAGCCGTCCGAAATATAAGCCGAACTGTGTAGCGGCGGGGAAATACTCTCGGCCACCGCAAATCGTCTGTAGCCGACGCGAACCGGCACGAACGCCCGGATATCATTGTGCAAACTTTGCTATGCGGCTGCTGCGGGGGTTTAACAAGGTGCGTTATCCTTCCCCTCGGCTGCCGCCACAGCACCGCCCACCCCAGACCGCCCTGAGTAACCCTAAGGTCGTTTTTGTCGATAATAAAACGCGAGTGACGCGCTTTCGCGATGGTTTGCACGCTCGATAGTCGGGAAGCTTCTACCGAGCGCGCGATGCGCCGTCACTTGCTAGTTTTTTTCTTTTTTCCATTTTTTTATTTGTTTTTTCCTTTTTGCCCCGTTCGACCCATCTCGCGTATAATTGTCGCGCACGTATGTGCAGTGTCGCGTATTATTACAACAATAAAAATGATATGCCAGATACGATGATATTCGCCGGGATCGATGCGCGTGCACGCATATACACGTGTTTTTTTTTTTTTTTTTTTTTTTTTTTTTTTACGAATTGTTGCACTAACCATTAATCAACGTATCATAAAAAAAAGGCACAAAAAAAAAGAGAGGTCCGCTCTGACGCAACAAAACGCGCAAATATTTTGCTCGGATATTTACTGTCGTCAACGTCGCTACACACAGCCGCCATTATTAGACCGGCCATTATTCTATGCGCGTAACGCAAAAAGCACACGGTACGTTATAACCTTCCGCGACACGGCGAATTTTTGTTCGCTAATTAACGGGACTGCGTGAACTAGTGATAAAAACCGCAAGCTGAATACAAGAGTATTACGATGTAATGTAATTAGCGTTCATATTGCAGCTTACAAAACTTTGCTCAAACATTGTTTTGATAGGAAGCTATTTTTTCTCATTATCTCATTACCGAAGATAAAAGGCGTGCGCGCTCGTTTCGAACTTGCTTCGATTCTTTCGAAAGCTGCCAGCCGTTAACAAAACTAACACAACGGTGGTCTGCGTTATCGGGGATAAACCCGATCTCCGGAGTAACGTAAACGGTCTGCTCGTTACGCAAACGGAACTTCACGGCAGACAGAATGCGATGGAGAGAGAGAGAGAGAGAGAGGGAGAGAGAGAGGGAGAGAGAGAGAGAGAGAGAGAGAGAGAGAAAGAAGCGCATGTATTCTCTCTCTCTCTCTCTCTCTCTCTCTCTCTCTCTCTCTCTCTCTCTCTCTCTCTCTCTCTCGCTGTCGACGCGATTCAGTGATTGACATCGCTCCAAAACAGTGTTTCGAACTCACCATAAACGGGCGCGTTCGTACGAGTTGCAATATGGACGAGTGAGATTGCGCTCCGGTTATACACGATCATCGTCCGCGACTCGGCCATGCGAATACAAACGTAAAGCCGACAACGACACGTCCACGGAGACGCGTCGCATTCTCCCGCGGAGAGAGTCCCTGAAAGCACGGGAGTCGAGATTGAATCGCGTCGCGCGATCCGTCACGGTGCCGCCGACAACGTCCGATTTGAACACCACTGTGCGAGACGAGACGCCAGGAATGCCACGGTGTCGGCGTAAACGCCGATCCGATGAACGCGGAGAGGTAAGAGGAGCGAGAAAGCAAGTACGTACGTCTCATGCACTCCTTTGCCCGTACGTTAGAACGTCCGCCGTTTAAACGGCAGAAAGTAGCGCGTTCGTAGAATACAAGTTCGTAGGATACAAGTAGAAAAGCGGTTGATGATGACGCGCATACTTCGATTCGGAGCGGATCGACCGAGACGTCGAATGTGACAGTCAAGAGAGACGAAGAGAGAGAGAAAGAAAGAAAGAAAGAAAGAAAGAGAAAGACAGCGCGAAGGGGAACGAGAGAGAGAGAGAGAGAGAGAGAAAGAGAGAGAGAGAGAGAGAGAGAGAGAGAGAGAGAGAGAGAGAGAGAGAGAGAGAGAGAGTGATATGGGGGAATGAATGAGAGAGCGAGTGCGAGAAAGGAAGGAGAAAGAGAGAGAGAGAGAGAGAGAGAGAGAGAGAGAGAGAGAGAGAGAGAGATAGATGGAGAAAGCTCTCTCACTCTCATCTTTCCTGTTCGCGTTCTTCTCTCTTCTCTCGCTACATTACAAGGACAAGCGTGAGTAACTCACCTCGGTAGCAGCGTTGCATCCCGCGAGGATCACCACAGCCGTGCTAACCAGAACCCAGTGTATCCTTAGTCGCATCTTTCTCCCGGTAGTGAGGTCTCGGATGGGCCCCGCGACGACGACGGCGCCCGTGCTCCGTATCAGCGCGCACGCACGAGTCTCGCGGCGTGAACGGCGTGGACCAACGGAGAAATCCCCGGTAAAACGCCGCGACGGATATAGTCAGGCAGAGGAATAAACCACCACTAGAAAAAAATCTCTCCCCGGAACAACAACGCGACAGACACACACCACACTGATCGATGAACCGCGAGACACTGGCGGCGCGACGATCGCCCGCTGTCGTCGACCACCGCTATGGTCGCCATGACATGCTCCGAGCCGCCGCCGAGAGAGGCGCGCGTATGCCATCTCGTGTCGGCTGCTGTCAACAGAGGACGAGCGATTTCTCGAATCGCTGTGATACAATGACTATCGATAATTAACAAGGACCATCGGTCTTACGGGATTTAGCGCCACTTTTACAAAGTTGCAATTAATTAAACAAGTTCAGAGACACTGATTTAGAAGCATTTCCGATAGTCGGAAAAATTCAGCCAAAGTGTCAGTTTGTCCTCGTGAATTGATTGAGGCCATATCGTTACGTCTTACGGAAAATGTGTGTGATAGCCTTTAGCATTACCTCATCGATTAGGCGGCAATTAGAAAGTTGTGAGTGTTTATTTCAAATTTTCATCCAGATCGTACGTCAAAATGAGAGAAATTGAGAGAATATTATTGGAGGGCTGTTCTTTCTCGAAATAATTTGGAAAGAAGTAAATATTCGCAGTTGAAACTTGGTAAGAGATAGAGATAGAGAAAAGGCAACTAAAATGTAAAATAATACAAAGTTCTTCGAAAAGGAATAAGTCTTGAGCGGAGAAAATAAGCGAAACTAAAAGCGTGCGCGTTTACGAATAATTAGTTAATTTTTTTTATCTTTGGCGGGCGGTTGGTTGCTCTCTAGGCTTCTCAGGAACCTCAGGTTCTCGTTTATATTGCGATTGTATTCGTCGATTTTGTTGCGCATCACTTGAATCTCGTGCTGCAAGTGCTTCACCTCGTCCTCAGTCTTTTGCTTCACGGCTCTTAGCAATTTCTTATCCTAAACATTCATAAAATTATGCAAACGAAAACTCACGCACTGTGTATGTATATTATAACTGTCGCTCGATTTCCTCCTGGATAACTTTTAGCGCGTCACCTGTTTATAATAATACTCGATCTCGTATGCAACTTCGTCGCGTGATGCTGGACTTTTTCCTGAGCTATGTTTATTCCTTCTGCTGACGTGCCTACGATTCAAAGCGTGTTTATGTCAGCGCAACGACATAACCAAACAAGCGTCTCAACGTTGTCAGTAAATTCAACATATTTCTAGGAAAGTACCTGGGCGTAGATCTACGCATATTTTCAATGACGTGTCGAAACATCGTGTTCAATTATCAAATAGAATATGTGATGCAGCGAGAAATATTTAATACCGAAAGTTATGACTTACTCATAGAAGAAATAAATATTGTTTTCGAAATGTTATACGTAACACGGAGGAAACAAATTCGCATCCTACGAAATTCGATCGTCCAAAATGGCGCCATATTGTATAAATCCAACCTTTGTCGTGAAAACTACGAAACTATGTTGAAACGTTACGTTATTTCGTCGTATTTTGTTTACCGACGAATTTTCACGGCGTCTGAACTTGAACTCGGCGATATTATGTGTTGACATTCGCTTTGAAGGTCGCTGTATGCAAAAAAAACACGTTTAAGCAACGATTAAAAACACATTTTATTCTCAGATATAAGTAAACCTTTTCTCAAACATGCGACGTACAAAATCGTCTTAGACTCTCACGGAGGTAATCAATTCATATAATATTGCAAAATAATATGAATCAATGCTCGAACTATATCAAAAGCATTGTATATTTTATATTTAATCAATGTAACGTATTATACATAAAAAAAAATTGCTGCGACATTCTATTATCCTTACTATTTTTAAATTCTTTTACACTGAAATTAATATCGCCGAAATCGGAAGTCTCACGCCGATAACTTCTAACTTTTTCATTCCTTCTGGTCCATATCTGTGATTCGATTTTTATGACGGTTTATGGCCTCCTGATGACGCTTGATTTGCTCCTCATGGAACGAGATCTCGTCATGCAGGCTCTCCCGCATCTTTTGTAACTGTTCCTTTTGCTAAAATGAAATTCCAGACTCATGTAAACAAGTGCCATACCAACACAGAGGAGTTTGCAAGACAAACATATACCAACCAGATTGTAAAAGTACTGATCTTCATGGGCTGCTTCCATTTTTCCAAAAGATCCACCAGCCTCGCGAATCGTACCACCACCACCTCCTCCTTTGCCAGCACCAGAACCACGTTCTCCAGCCATTCTCACCTGACTGTAACAAGGAACGTTCAATGTACCAAAGTGGAATTACATGATGAGAAGCATCTCAATTACAAGCAAAATGAAATATTATTTGGGGAATTCTGTCTATACCGCAATCTACTGAACCATTACATAATTTTGATATGGCATTCAGGTAGGTCAGTCATATGTCACACATCCACGACGAAAGAATCGGAACGAAAGAACAATATCGACGCATGATGCAAAAAGAGATGTCTCTCCCGTACTCCGAGGAAAACGTATGTATTTATTACTGCGTATAAAGACGTACGAATACATCGTATCGGGACGATTCGCTACGTCTTCGGAATGCCGGGGAGCGCGAGAAGGGTGAATCAAAGACGCAACGTTCGATGAATTTCTTCGTCGCGCGAAACAACATGAAGCTTCACGAGATACCTTAGCGCAGAGATGTTTCGCGAGAATGTAATCGCCCTTTGCATCTTAACAACCACGAATTTGCCGTCGGGGAAACTCTCGACGAGGACTCGGCAACGCTACGAGACTACCTTGAGCTGCTCCGTCATGAACGTAGCGCTATTCTTAGATTGCGAACCCAGACACAACGGCGGCGACTCTCTGGCGACGCCGTGGCGATCGTCGTTCACGAGATCTCACGCCGCGTGTCGGTAATCTTGATTGACGGAATTATTAAACAAACGCAAATTATGTTATGAATAAAAACCACGAATGCACGATCTAATTAATACCACGAGATAAATCACTACAAATTATTATACACTGCTGAAAAAGTACATATATAAGATCTGCAGAGGGCGCGCAGATCGGTGTTATTAAATGCATTTAACGTAATTATCGTGTATCGCAAATTAATACGGAGGAAAGCAATCGAAAAAAATAGCAATAATCGTTGATAAACACCGTAGTGAGCATTCTTCAACTGTCGGACATGCGTGTCGAGTCGCATCACCGACTTGAAGTTACCGCGCGACGCGCGATGATTGGCTGCGAGCACACCGCTGACACACACACATACACACATCTACGAAACTTCGCGTTCATAAACTTTTGGAAAACGTTGGCAATCCCGGCGGGAACGCCGGGAACTCGATTGAATCGATTTTGCCGGCCCGAGCCTCCGGCTCGACGAACGGATCGATGTGAGTACCGATTTCTTTATCGGGTGGGAAATGCGTATTAATACCTGAAATATTCCGCTGCTTGACTTTCGATTAGTTGCCTTTTGATCTCAGACGTCTTTAATTCGTTCACGGCGGTTTGTTTCTGCAATTCCGCGCGTTCCAGCTCGATCTCTAGCATTCGTAGCTTGATCTCATGCTCGCGCTGAGTAGACTTGCAGAACCATGTCGTACATCGCGCTACGTTGTCGCGTTTATCCGTGCGTAATTTATCCTTCGCGCCTCCATTACGCTCCATCGCTTGAAAAGAAGATTCTCGGCTATCGTCTGTGTCGTCTTTCGTAATCCTCCTTCGAGTGCTATATTCGATATCGAGAGAGAGAGAGAGAGAGAGAGAGAGAGAGAGAGAGAGAGAGAGAGAGAGAGAGAGAGAGAGAGAGAGAGAGGCAGAATAACGAAAGATACCATCATCTACGCAGATTGCCGAGCTGCTATTGGGGCACGGGATTTTCGACTCGGAAGATTCTACGGGCTCGTCTTCCGCCACCGACGACACCACCGTTCTCGAACGCTTCCTCGGCGACAGGCCCGGCGACGATTTTCGCGTAGATTCGCCGTGACTGTTTTCGTCTTCCGTGTTGTAAGTATCACTGTTGATCTCGATCTTTATATCATGTCCTGGCGCTGAATCAAAGATCGATATCGGTATAATATCAGGCAACACGAGACATGACGAGAATGTCTCCATAGAAAAGGTTAAGTAACACTCGTATTCGTAGTCAGGCCTTATATTTAATGACTTCCTTAAGTTTATCTTCAGATGATCTGCGGCCCGTAAAATAATCTGTGCAGCATCTAAAGATGGATAAAAGAAGGCCTCAAACATAAGGCCTGACTATGAATACCGGTATAAATGAATCGTTTTCATAAGAGTCAATTTTCGACGCGACACTCACGCGAAAAACGACCTTATGCAGATACTACCTTACGTTTGTAACGTAACGGTCGTTATCGCGCGCCATATTTGCGTTTGAATTCAGAAAGATTATACCGGTATTGGAGCCTACGCTGAGCTGAACTGTTATCTCGCGATGATCTTATCGGTATTTTAATTAGTAAGATAGTTAATTCACGATATTACAATATTACGATATTATGATAGTAAGGAGAATAATAATGGAGGCGGGAGATAGCAATGAGTGATAGCAAAGAACAAGGAGATAGAATAACATAGATTCGCGTGCATCTAACCTGACGTTTCCGGCGTCAAAGGTAGCGTTAAGTTATCCAAGATAGCGTGTATCGCTGACATCCGATTCGTTGTCTGATTTTCATGTGTGTCTTGACTGCTACTGTCATCCGAACGTTCGGCGTCGCAGTCGTTTCGCCGTACGCTTTCCATCAGTCTCCACACCTCAACCGAGAGACTCGACGGACGAAATTTGACGGCGACTTCAGGTCCCAGAGTTCGCACCTGCACGGACCATCGTACAAAACAGAACGGAAACATAAAAAGGTAAGATCTAATGATTATCTTACGCGATGTTTTTTTTTCATAATTAAGACATCGTCAATTGTTAACACGGTACGAGGCACGGCTGTAGTTTCCGTAACATGTTAACGTTAAATTGATTAAATGTTAAACAACTATTTAAGCCTCGAGCGGTATGTAGGTCTCGAGAGACGCGTAAAAGCATGTTGGCACACCGCGTTGCATATTTGCGAAGATAATAAGCCTGAAATGTTTCGAGACGAATTTTTCGTGTTTTCTACTCATCATTCACAGAAGCAGGAAATCGTGCCCAAAAATTGCAGATTTTGCTGTCGCTTCAGGGAGAAGTATTAAAAAATAAATACAATTCGATATATACAATACGCAAGGAAATAAGCAAGACGAAACGAGCAAGAAAACGAGAGGAAACAACGCGAGTAATGTAAAACAATGTAAAATAGAGTCGAATAAGTAAAAAAGCTGCGCGTGAACACGAAGTGAGACGAAGCGGCGGATGAAAGACAAATAGCGTATCGCGCGCGCGGCAAAATTTTGTACGAGTGCTACGGTGATGATGTAGCGACGATAAAACGGGCGCACCTTCTCGGCATACGTGTGCATCTCTATCCTCGCCTGCGCCTTCATCCGCCGCCACTGTTCCCTTATCCGCACGATGTCCCGGTCCGCGGAGAATTTGCCGCGAAACGCGGAGTAGATCTGCTGCCAAGCGAGAGCCTTCATCGTGGAGGCTGCTTGGTCGATCTTCTTGTTCTCGATCGCATTCACGTGCAGCTTGATCAAGGCGAACAGCGCGTTCTTCTCCTCCGGGATCCAGTTCTGCGTCCTCTCTCGCTTCTTCAGCAACACCGTCGTCGTTTCCGAAGACATGCTTCCCCCGTAAGTTTCCCGCTCGTTTGATTCACCTTTCGTCTCTCGCTCTCGAGAGACACCGGAGACGAGTCGGTCGGTTTAAGGTTGGAGGTTAATTCGTCGGACCGATCGTACACAAACGTCTCGTTACACGCGACCGTCTTTGTTTCGGAGCACCGTCGTTTGCTTGTTTAAGCGCGGTTTTAGAACAGTCAGCTGTTTACACGCCATCGGCCGTCACCGACGCGTCGCCGTGTATCGAAGATTACGCCACGGAAATCGCCGCGGTCTCATTCGTCGCACGTGGCTTCGTCGGCTTCAGGCCGACTTATACGTCGGCAAACGTGTCCTCTTTCCGTACTCCGCACTCGTGCTCCACACGTCACACGCAAGTGACGCTTCATCTTGTTTTCGGCAACGCGAGGGAAAACTTGAGGGAATCAGCCCGAATCGCACCACTGGACTTTTGCTCTCGAAGCGCGTCTTTAGCCACGCCAAGTCTCGTGTTTTGCGTTCAATCGTGTTTCCAGTGACGTTTTCGCGGACAAATTGGATCCGCGGTGATGAATCGGCCAGCATCGAGTCGCGGACAAAACACAATTTTCCGAACGCTCGCCCTACCATACTCGGGATTTCTCGCGGCAGAACGAGAGCAGAACTCTCGTGGATGGGAGATACGCATTGTTGAAAAAAAAGAGAAAAAAAAGAGAAAACGCCAATCTCTCGGGAGATATTTCTTTTTACGCAGGCGGAGGACGAAGTCAACGCTACGTCCCGTGAACGGAGGTAGCCGTGTTGCCGCGAACAACCGCGTTAAACCGAGTCGATTTAAACGCGAACTAAGGGACGACTAAACGCCGGCCATTTTGGCCACGGTACTAGCTAGACGCGCTCGATATTTAACAAATCCTCGGTTCGTACGGGGCGAGAGAGGCGCGAGGACGGGAGGAGAGAGGGACCGCCGACGCAGGGTTCCGCGCAACGCAAAACATTGTTTCGTTTCATTTCGCGACCCGTCGTGGAATCATATTGCGCCGATTCCAATATTTCCATCGTTTTATTGCAATCGCGGCATATCCCCACTCTCGGCTGGCTACTACCACCGCGCGCATCCCTTTTCAGATCCCCGCTTCGAGCGAGAGAACCCGGAGAGGGTTCTCGCGAAGGAGAGCAGAGCGAGAGGGGCTGGTGCTCGCGGTCAGGATTATCCGCGATGAGGATGAGGAACGCCCGCTACGTCCACAAAACACGCAGGCGGAACTGCGTGGAGTGCACTTCCGTGGCTTTCCCCAACAGGTAAAATTCCTCGCCGCGGCCACATGCTTGTGGGTTCTGTTCCGTACTTTAGTCGCGACGCCCGTCGGTTGGGCCAGCCCGACGTCGGATGGCGTTGGTTGGCGTTGCTCGTACGTTCGCGTGGAGAAAATTCAGAGGGGAAGATTTGAAAAATTTTAGGAGAGAAACACAGAATTGAAGTCGAGGTTTCGATGAAGAAAGTACCACGACGTGGAATCGAGGCGGATTTTCCCGCTCTCTCGTTCGGGATCGTGTTCAATAGACAACCGAGATTCGATTAATTCGATCTCGAGATTTTCCAACAATCGTGCGAATCAACGATTCGTTACGGGCAGAGAAAGTTCGTACGAGAAAAAGAGAGAGAAAGCCTCGATGCTTTCGACGTAAATGGCAAGGGGATGAAAGGTCCGACCCGCGGAATCGTTTCTTGGCGTGTCAGCATCTCGATAGCGGTGAAGTCGAAGTTTGGGCATCGCGTGCTCGTGCGCATCGCGGAACTCGAAAGAAAACTTAAATGTATTTTGTTTCCAACTTGCTGTGTGTACCCCTCGAACGTTTCCCTTCCGTCTCTCACCTTGCCCTTCTACTTGCCGCCGAGGTTCTCGCGTCCGGGCCGCTAACCGGATTCCGGCGATTTCGAGGCTCCGTAGAACGGCGAAACTCGCGAATACTTTCGCGTCGACGAGAAAGGATATAACGGCTGAGCGGGCGCGTAGGACGCGCTGTGGGCGCGCTCGCTCTCTCGCACGTAAAATCCTAATTAACGGTATCCGTGCCGTGTAATCTGGCTCGCGCAATTTGAGCGAGCGTTTCGAGCCCGTGGGCGATAGCCGCCGGCCGACCCCGGGAGCTTGGAATCGCGAAAGTTGGCGCGGAACACCCTGTACGTTACGGCCCTAAGTACCGTGTAATGGAATCAAATAGACCCGGCGGATCCGGCTACGTCCGCCGCCGTGCGACATTAGTTCCACGATAGTTATTCCTCAGAGCCGACACACGGCGGGAATTTATCGCGGCGGATGTGTTGTATCTCGCGCGGCGGGTGTTTACTGCTCCGCAGCGTGCATTTTACGCGATCTCGAGCGGCGAGGTAATAAACGAAGTAAGTTGGAAAATCGCAAAGTTACGCTAGACGAAGAAGGAAGAGGGAAAACTGAGGGGAAACGCGCAGGGATATTACTTGGGGTTGTTTCTTCGCTTTGCGTTGCACCCGCTAACGCGACACGCGTTAATATTAAATTAACGCTTACGAATAAATACGCGACGACGATCTAACCCGCTGAGCGGTCGAGGATCGGTTTAATTCGATAAGTCCTCGTCCTCGCCGCTTGCCGGATCGGCGAACAATCGGTGAGTCGTTTTGCAAAAGAAAAGAAAGAAATAAGACTCGCCTTCGAACGACTTCCTTCTTTCCTTTCTTCCTTTGCGCATCGCTGGAATACGCGAAAACCCGTAGGATTAATTTAGGTCGCAGCCGCCGCCGCTACCGCCGTCGCCGCGCGTCCCAAAGCATCCACTGTCTCGATAGAATCCAATATGACGCCGTTATTCTCGCGGCGCACGCTGCCGAGAAGAGCTGATTTTTCCTAGGAATTTTTCAAGTCACGTTCTCTCTCTGTAACGCGCCCTCCTAGTCCGTCGCCTCCTAGTAAAAGCGGCTTTGCCCCACCGCTTTCACAACAAAAAAACTCCGCAACGCGTCTCCGGAACTCGTGTGTACACTTCTTTTTTCTCGCTCTCATTCCCTCCCCTGTTCCTGTCTCCTGCTTTCGCACGTTTTTGCGTTTTTGCGATATATATATATATTTTTTTTTTTTCGGCTTTTATAGTTGGGCTATACGCGACAGCATTAACAGGCAGTTTCGCGCACTGCATCGTTGCGAGCCTTTAACGATCCTCGTCGCGCCGCAGCTGTGCGTCATTGAATCATAAAAAACCGCACGTTCCGCAGAAGATGAGACGTCGATATCGCGTGGCGATATCCGACCTCATCGCCGGGTAATTCAACAATAAAAAGACTTGATTTTCGCGAGAAAACCAGGTTAGAGCGCGATTACCGGCGTGTCGATGGTGATAACGGGAGACGCGATACTGGAGCGACCAACGGCGTTAAATCGTGAAACGATTGTGAAGAAAGCAGAGGTGAAAGATCGAGAGACCGCCTTGTGAATTTAATATAAATATAAATTATTTCCTTCCTTCCTTGTGCGCCCAGAGATAGAAAGGGAGGAAGAAAGAGAAAGCCAAAAATATACAGAGAGAGAGAGAGAGAGAGAGAGAGAGAGAGAGAGAGAGGGGGGGGAGAGAGAGAGAGAGAGAGAGAGAGGAAGAGGGAGAGGGAGAGAGAGGCTCTGTTCTCATTCTCATTTCGGAGTATTGATTTATCGCGAGAGTTGTTGAAACGTCAAGCATCGTCAACGTTGAAGCGAGTCGAGTCGAGCCGAGTCACAATACGATACTTTTGCATACAAAGCCCTCGTTTTGTCTTGAACTGTCACGGGGGATAAAGAAATGTCAACGGGACTGTCCGATCTATGACCGTCGATTGTCGAGGAAACGAGAGACAGGTAAGCGTTGGAGTCTGTGTGTGTGTGTGTGTGTGTGTGCAGAGTCTCGATATTTAGTATTAACAGCCCTTACGGGACGATCTGCTGAAACGTCCAAAAATACCCTTTGAGATACATTAGCAAAGCGCGGCATCTAGAAAAGGCTCTCTCTCTCTCTCTCTCTCTTCACGAGCTCATCGAGTGGAAGCAGATCGTCGACATCCGTATTGGATTATTGATCCCACCGGGCGGCTCGTTCTACACTGATGTTTCCTCGGTATCGTTTCCCTATATCGACATCCTGGCCGTCTTCCATAATGTACAATATTGGCGATATCCATACCGACAACCGCGAAGCTCGGTATTATCGTTGCGTTACGAGTGAATCTGTCCTATCAGCCATTGAAGACTCGCGTAGCCTTTAATGCCGCTGACACTCGCGGCCGATACGCCAATACCGTATTTTAGATTAGTCGCGTTCGTCGTTACGGCGTTAATTGCAAACTTGCGTTATCTAACTGGCACGTGTCTGGCAGTTTAATTGTCATTTGCATGCGAAGCCGATGCGGCGTTCGAACGTCGCCATCTTCGTCGTTGTCGTCGACTTGGTTCCGTGTCGCATTTTGTCCCTCTTGTTCTTCTTGAAATTTTTTAATGAATTTGGCCTGATCGTTTGGCGCGCACGCTCGCGAGAAAGAAGGGCAGAGGCCGCAGAACAGCGGCGAAATATTCTCGGGCTCTCCTCGAGAGAAGGGCTCTTGCACGCGCGTTAATAACGCAGTTAAGCGTTCGTTGGCCCATAAAGCTCGCTCGCGAAGTAACGATACGAGTTCTCGAACGATAAAGCCCGAATTGTGCGAAAATTGTGCGGATGCCGTGCCGGTTACAAACGTGACGAATGTCCCAGCTGCTAAAGTTGCGTACGGATCGTTGAATACGACTCGACGGTACGAGCGGCGGAGCCCGCCGCCGCTTCGATTCCTAAATCTTTTTAAGTTGTACATAAATGTCGCGGCGCATCGGTGGAATGCTGAACTTTCGTAAGCTTCAGATCTTACGTTCAAACTTTTTCCATAAAGCCCGGCTTTGTAGCAGGTTGCGTCCCGCCTTATAAGTTCCGCGGCCGTCGACATTGTCGCAAAACCGAGCTTTACGTATCGGTCGGGAAACGACACAAAAATATTCGCGCGAAATTCCACGAAACTTGGCCAGAAAAGCGGCAGAGTTCCGGCCAAATTCCTCTCTCTCTCTCTCTCTCTCTCTCTCTCTCTCTCTCTCTCTCTCTGATAATGAACTTTAGACCGTGGGGAATCCGAAAGAACATATGTAGAGTTTAGGAGAGACGATACTTCTATCGATCACTATTTGATTGTACGAATTGAGATTCTTTCTCCTGGTCGACAAATTTTTCCTCATATACGCAACATTACGCTAAGTATATTTTGCAATTGCGCGTGGGTAATTTACACGTTGATAGTTACATTTTTTACGAACGAATATCCGCTGCATTCCGGACGTGCGAACGAATTCTCTCTTTCCGCGCACAAGCTGGCTGCTCTCATGTGATAAATTTTTCATCCGCAAAATAGCAAACTCATCCCGTATAACGGATCAGCTGATCCGTGATAAAGGGACACGTAATTCAACAAGCAGCGGCCGACACAAACGAGACACGATCACACGTGTTTTCTCTTCGGACGGTATAATCGTAAAATGCGTGCGTCGTAATGGCGCGATACATTAGCAAATTAGACATCCGCCCGATGTTGCACGACGAACAAGTTTGCACGCGAAGACTCGAAGAGCTATTCCGCCGTTTGCCGTTTCGTCGCGCTGCGACTTTCCACCGGACTTTTCTCGCGCTCTTCCGGCACTCTCTCGTTTCGCGGGGAAGCTCCGCAAAGGGCATAAATTATCGCGCGACCGCGCGATACGCGCACCGCGAGGAATTCAATTTGGCGAATTCACTCGCACCGCGTAAGGGACATAAATCTGTGCGTAATTCTCGTAATGGCACCGAGAGAGCTCTCTTCCTCTTTCCCTTTTCTCTCTCTCTCTCTCTCTCTCTCTCTCTCTCTCTCCCTCTCTCCCTCTCTCTCACTCGCTCGGCGCGAGCACACACCGCCGCGGGAGTTATAGAACGCTACATCATCGTCGTCTCTCGGCCGCGTAATCTCTTAATCGCGGGCCCGG